CAGGAGAGGGGAAGGAGAACACCCCTCAAAGATGGGGGCGCGGGGGTCACCTCGAGAGGCTCCTACAGCAACTATGCTCTTCTCTTCTGCAAGAAGGGCCTTCTCGAGGCTGTCGACGGTGAGGGTGGTGGGACAGACCGCAAGGAAGTGGTCCCGGACTACACGAAGGGAGTCAGGGAGGCGAGTAACTAGGAAGTAGAGAGTGATGTACATGGGGGGGGGGGTTCTTGGCGCAGAAGTCAGCAGGAAGTGCAGCGCGGTAGCGAGTGTCACTAGTGTGGAGGTGCGTGATGAGATCAGCGACAGTGGGAAAGGCGGCAAGGTCAGGGAAGAGGAAGGGGAGCATGAGGCGGCTCAGTGCAGCAGTGGCAGGGGAGGAGTAGCGTGAAACTACAGCGTCGTACAAGGTCTGAGCACTCTTGTACTGACTAAAGTGCGCGCGCTCAGCGGTAGGCAGGTGGCGACGCACAGCAAGACGTGCAGCAGCATCGCGCGTGGCCCACTGAGAGCGAACAGTGGCGTCAGCATCAGCAGCAGGGGCAGGGACAGCGCCAGAGGTGAGGTCAAAGAGAGACAGATTGTCGGCCCTGTCGCACTGTAAAAACAGCTTCAGGTCGTCGAGCCAGACCTCAAAGTCAATGGCTCGACCCTCAGCGTCAAAAGTGAGGACAGTGGGTGTAGCCATGACGACGACAGTGGCGCAGTGCAAGCAGTAGGGGAAGGGTACGCAGTGACAGCAGTGCAGTGCTCACCGGGTAGGGCAGGTCGGGCGGCTCAGGAGGAAGGTCGCCAGACGACACGGCCGCTAGGCTGCTGGGCGGCTCGGCTCCCGGGCGGCTCGGCTGCTGCTGGGCGGCTCGGCTGCTGTTGGGCGGCTCGGCTGCTGCTGGGCGGCTCGGCTGCTGTTGGGCGGCTCGGCTGCTGCTGGGCGGCTCGGCTGCTCCTGGGCGGCTCGGCTGCTGCTGGGCGGCTCGGCTGCTGCTGGGCGGCTCGGCTGCTGCTGGGCGGCTCGGCGGCGCGTCTGCTGCTGGGCGGCTCGGCTGCCGCTGGGCCGCGTAGGTAGGGCGGCCGGGCCTCGAAGGTAGGGCGGCGGGTGGGCTGCAGGTAGGGCGGCGGGTGAGCCGCAGGTAGGGCGGCGGGACGGCCGCAGGTAGGGCGGCAGACGGCCGCAGGTAGGGCGGCGGGAAGGCCGCAGGTAGGGCGGCGGGACGGCCGCAGGTAGGGCGGCGGGACGGCCGCAGGTAGGGCGGCAGACGGCCGCAGGTAGGGCGGCGGGTAGGCCGCAGGTAGGGCGGCGGGACGGCCGCAGGTAGGGCGGCGGGACGGCCGCAGGTAGGGCGGCAGGTAGGTCGCAGGTAGGGCGACGGGACGGCCGCAGGTAGGGCGGCGGACGGCCGCAGGTAGGGCGGCAGGTAGGCCGCAGGTAGGGCGGCGGGTAGGCCGCAGGTAGGGCGGCGAGTGGGCCGCAGGTAGGGCGGCGTGACGGCCGCAGGCAGGGCGGCGGACGGCCGCAGGCAGGGCGGCGGGACGGCAGCAGGTAGGGAAGCGGCGGGGCCGCGTCGAGGAGGCGGCGGGGCCGCGTCAAGGAGGCGGCGGGGCCGCGTCGAGAAGGCGGCAGGGCCGCGTCGAGGAGGCGGCGAGGCCGCGTCGAGGAGGCGGCGGGGCCGCGTCGAGGAGGCGGCGAGGCCGCGTCGAGGAGGCGGCGGGGCCGCGAGGGGAAGGGCGACACGGATGGTCGCGAGAAAAAAAGAACGTGCGCCTCGGGGCGCGCTTCGGTGGGCCCTAGAGAACAGTCCCTAGGATGGGACCTGCTCTGATACCATGTGAAAATAGAAAACGTGAATGAATTGACTACGAACGAGGTGAGTACAAATAGGAAACCCTAATTGGGTTGTACCCCCTATGGGATACCCCACTATAGCCTACACAAACAAGTAAGCTATAATGTTCTGACAGGCCTTTCCCGAACTTTCGGTGGTTTAAAAAAACGACTTCCGTCCCACACTGTGCCGCTCTGCCGAAAAACGCCCACGACGCACCCTTTTGCAGCAACACCTGCTGCACCCGGGCGGGACGACGGTAGACCCCGCTTTCTTCGGGCAATCGCCACGCCGCCTCTCCTCGCCGTCGGTTTTTCCGACGCAAATCACACATTGCGCCTGGCTGCTCGACCAGCAGTCGTTTCACACGTGAAGCCACCCGAAATCTTCGCGCACAGTGACGACGATCACCACGTGCCGAAGACTCTGAATTTCTCGTGCGCAATGTGACGAAATCGCGCGACGCCACTTGCCGCACGCATTAACTCCCGATTTTGTTGCGCGTTGGTGCCGACCACGTGCCGACGCAACTCGCGCAAGTCTTTTTTCCGAAAATGTCGCGCAGAGTTGTCGACCACGTGCCGACGCCACCCGTCTATCTCAGGCGTGCAGTGACGACGCTTCCTTCGACGTCAGCTACCACACAGTGTTAACTCGGAAATTGACGAAAATGCCATGCAACTAACTTACGCCATAAATGCGACGACAGCAAAAGCTGTCCGCCACCCGGGGGGAGGGAGGCCACGGTCCATCTCGACCGTCGAGGGCAAGGATCCGTCGGTGCCGCAGGAGCGCCTTGAAATTCATGGCCGTTAGGAGCAACTACCCGTTCTCCTGGCCGGCTCTTGCGCTGCTCCTGTCACCACGGCATCCTTCCCTGTCCCCCCCCCGAGGGGTATTACACTCTAAAAAACGGGGAAGCTAGGAAAGTAGCTCTGATACCAAGTGTTATGAGTTTTACTAGACAGAGTGCGCGGAAGACTTTATAAAGAAGTCGTGATTACAGAATGACGAAACAATGAAGAAAGCGAGAATATATAGGGCGAAAACTAGCTAGGCGAGAACCTCTAGATGTGCGTGGCTCGGAAATGTCGCGATTGGTGCGGGGCGACTCGGAATTGGCTCGGTGCGAAAGTGTAGGACGAGCCATCCTGACGCGAAGTGCTCGGGCTGTCCTCGCTAGGAGCAGCCTCTACAGTAATGAATTGCATTTTGTACTCGTTTGACACCTTAGTGCAATTCTAGCTACTTAGATTCATTGCACCCGTAACATGGCGCACTTATTTAGGTCCTCAACTCTGCCCCACGCTTGGGAGATTTCTGTTTCAATTTATGGCAGGAGTCACTAAATGTGATGCCCTACTGAAATGTCATGGACGAAATGCTTTGGAGGGGCATCGTGGCACCTCGAGAGTGGTGCGTCTGCCTTGCTTTCCTCTTTGATCCAACCAATCAACGGCGTTCCCTCGCCCCCTATGAAAATAGATCTGCACTGCTTCATGCAATCATCGATTCCGAGCTGGCTTCGCAACATAGGTCATCCAATTTTGTGAACTGTATCACCCACTATACACAAGATGCTCAGCCCCTGCGCGCTAAATTTTCACCCAACAAATAGAAAGTCTGCACCCGTTTTTTTTTACCAGCAAGTTGCGCCCACATTACAAGCCCCTCGAGCCACACAGAAGAGACCGAAGGCACACGGAAGAGACCGAAGTCAAAATGTCAACGGGGAGCTACAAGTTTCTTAGAAACCTTTTTTTGCTAGGTGCGATGTTGACGAAATTTGCGAAATGCTCAGAATCCTCTTTAACGCTCTAATTACGAGGCACCTTGGGTTAGTAAAACGAGCATCTTGTGTACTTACAGACACAAGAAACCTTTGGTTTGGAGGTACCTTTGGGATGAGATTCGTGTTTGGGGTGGGACTGACACAAAGTTGACATTTCTCTCCACGCGTTCTCGTTCGTTCATGAAACGAAAAAATCCCCACACCACACAACCAAGGAAGGAAAAATGTGAATCCCCACCAACGGGGCAATCCACCTGCTATCACCGCTTTCCCAAACTCCCAGCCTCAACCAGCAACACTTCCACTGGGCGCATCTTGCCAAACCCACTCCTGCCCCAAGGGCGACGAGCGTCACTTCAAACACACCCTAAGCCCTCACAACCACATTTTCGGTCTGGTTAGTAACGGTTCAGAATGGTAAAGTCGGAGAACCGCTTCAATTGCTCAACATCGCACTCAACCGCGGGAACCAACTGATAGTGAACTTGGGACTGTCCTAAATCGTCAAACCCCGTCCTTCCAGCCGTAATAGCCAAGCCAGCTATGGTGGTACTGTAATCCCAATCGTTGAAGGAACCTATTTTAATCCAATCACCGCAGTCCCAGGCGCGGACTGTGGTGTAATGCCATGCAGAGTCTGCCAAGCTACAGTACAATTGCAGCACACTTAGGCGTTGCGAATCCGCCTTTTTGTCAGGCAGCTTTCGGGGACGAATCACAGAGCCTGCTCCCTGCCTTTCTCTTACCTCACAAGGTTCCAGTCTGTTCTTTCGTTACCACTTTTCTGGCATCTAGACTACAGTAACGACGCTTAGAGGCGAATGGCAGCATTGCGGCACAGATACCCTGGGCTATTGCTGTTAATGATTTTTCCACAAAGGCAACTTTCCACAATCGTTAAGCTTGAGTCATAGAACAGCCTTTTTTGCAACTGGCGCTCTGATGAATATGTCTTGCTCACCCTCGTACAGTTAGTCCCATAGATTCTGCTTCTGCCGTGCGGTTTTTGTAGTGGCGAGAGCATCGAATCAGGTCCTAAGGCATCCAATACACTTGACCAGACAGACTGTCTCCTCTCCGCTGTTTCGCGGCGACAGAGAATGTTGCAGTGAACGGGACGGAATGCCAAGCGTTGAGTTCACGCCGAAGCGACGTAGTAACGCGAGTACAAATGGAACTGATACATGACAGCCGTTGGTGCACTTTTGTTTAAGAAGCTATCAGCTCCGAACACCTGACAACCTCTGGTTGAGACCTCCCGAATCATTCTCTTCTTTTCTGCGAGGTTCTTTATTACCAAGAGGTTACCGTTTCCTGATCGTCGTAGATCCGAGTCACTGTCCTTTACGACTCACAGAAACTTCTCATTTTTCGAAAATCTCACCAGAATGCTCGCAGTCGCGTCATCGTCTCGCCGCTACCATTCGTGCGGCTCGTCGTCCCAGCCTGCAGTCCAAATCGACGGCCTGGATCCGTCGGAAGGACTGGATCCGATGGTCGTGATGGCGCGCTTCGTCGGCGAGTCGGGTATGCGACCTTTCCTATCAACGGATGATGACGCGGCGCCAACAGCTGTGAGCGACGCAGCCAGCGACGCAGTTAGCGACGCAGTCAGCGACGCAGTGAGCGACGCTGGCGAGGAGACATTTTTCTTCCCCACGCCTCCGCGCAGCCCGCGCGTTATCTCCCGCGCGGCGCTCGAGTTCCGCCACGGCCGCCGCCGGCATTCGTTCAGCGGATTTCAAGAGCTTCCCGCCGGGTGCGGAGTCTGTGGCGTTCCGGAGTCCCTGGATGGTGCTACTAACGGGGATATTAGTCATCATGGTGCTAATAACGGGATTATTTGTTATCCCGGTGAAGATAACACACACGGTGCAGAAGATCGCTGTGACCCACCTCGCCTACTTCCGTCTGCAGCTCAATATTCCGCACCTCCCGCTGCTGCCGCCACTGCCATTGCTGCCGACTCTGCCACAGCTGCTGTCACGTCACCGCTTCCTGCTGACGCAAGTGGGCGGCCGGATCAGATCTACGGCCCTAAATCCAACGCCATGTGGCCACGAAGTCAGAGCCACTCGGCAGTCGTGGGCCGGCGAGATTCCAGTGATGGCTCTGATGCTATTGGGGGACGGCGCCTGGGCCGGCATAGGCGCATACGATCAGTGGAAGCAGTGATGGAGATTTCTGGAGTGGCGGGGCAGGCCACAACAGCAGTGCCTCCCGTATCGCCCTTTCCGCGAGTCTACATGGCCGTACAGTCACCGCACGGGTTAAGAAGAGAATCCTCACTGGGAAAGCAGTCACAGTCGTCGTCTCCCCATGTGGCAGCGGCTTTCTCGCTGAAGACTCCACGCAGTGGCCCTGCCTCCTCTGCCTCCTTATCGCCGACATCACCCCTCTCTCCTCCCTTGTCTCCCCCACCACTGTCCGTGCTGTCGTCTTCAAAGCCCGTCTCTCTGCCGCCACATTCAAAACCTACCTCTCGACTGTCACGATCTAAACCTGTCACGGGCTTCTTAGCTTCTGGCCGTTCTTCTTCGCCAGACTCTTATGTACAGATGAACTGCAATGCTACTTCGACCGCTCTCCCCACCAAGGCAACCGTGCGAGGAGCAGCAGCAGTGGCCGCATGCAGAACTGTTGGTCTCAAGGACATTCGTGTGCAGGCCGCAGGCAGCAGTAGGGTTACAAGAAACACCAATGGCAATGGCAAGAGCGTGGCACCAGGATCAACAAGTCAGACGGGCTCAATTTCTGGTTGCAACAACTGCAATGCAAGCAGGTCCTCTTCGCCGCAGTTGCCCAAGAACGAACGGCGTGTGTGCTTCAGCAACACTGTGAAAGTTCGGACGTTCTATGAAAGCAAGTAGCTGCTCACTCAGCATGGCTATTTTTCACTAGTCTGATTTTCAGAGTTGTATGTTGCCTGACTCCTCCCCTTCATGAATAAAAAATAGTGGTTTGTTTCTAGAAGGGAAAAAATCCAGAGTGCGGGTAGTTAGTGTCAAAATGAGGAATGATGATGCCTTAGATGTTGGTTGGGGTACATATAACAAACCCTAACTTCTGTACCCCCTAAGACAAACCTCACTACAGGCTACAACATTTGACACACCCCCATAGCCTAAGTGAGGGGTGTCTAGCAAAAAAAAAAAAAAAGAGTCCGGTCACAAGACCAGTCCAAAAGAAAACAAAGCTCTGGGTGGATCACAACATCACCACACTCTCTGAGCACAAGCAACAGTGGCCACAAGGCCAGTCCAAGAGATCACAAGTATATATAGCAAGAGTACAGGCGAAGCAGGCAATAAACTCAAGCCTACACATGACTAGAACATGTGTCAACAAGGCCTAACTGCACACAACACCTCTGGTGGTCACGAGGCGGAAGCGCCTTAGTGAAGATGTCTGCAGTGTTGGCCTCGGACTCCACAAACTCGAAGCGAGCCTGTCCACATCTCTGCAACTCTCGCAGAAGAAAGTACCTGACGTGAATGTGCTTCACTCTGCTCTCAAGTCGCGGCTCACGACAGAGGAGGATCGACGCCTTGTTGTCAGTGAACAAGGTCGGTGCAGAGCTCGGCCGCTCACCAAGGTCGGCGAGCAAGAAGGTCAACCAACGCAGCTCCTGTGCCGCCATGGCACCAGCGTAAATCTCAGCCTCAGCTGTAGAGGTCGAGACAGAAGAGGAGCGCGTGGAACGCCAGGAAACAGCTCCAGAACCCAGACTGAAACAGTACCCCTGAGTAGACCTGTGAGTCTCAGCGTCGTCAGCGTAAGAGGAGTCACAGTGATCAGTGAGTACGACAGACTGCTGCCCTCCAAGAACTAGCCCCACGCCTGATGTAGTCGCTAGGTACTTCGCCACCCTCACAGCTGCCGTCCAGTGAACAGGACGGTGTCTCCTTGGCGCAACAAAGCGCGCAAGGATGCTGAGAGGGAAGGCGAGGTCCGGGCGAGTACAAGTCATCAGGTACATGAGGCAACCCACAAGCTCTGCGTAGGGACCACTAGGCTCAAACGGCTCGTCAGGAAAGGGACCAGTGAGTCTGTGGTCAACAGCGAGAGGTGTGCGCTGTACGGTGGAGTGCTGAAGCCCGAACCGCTGAAGGACCTGCTGTGTCAAACATTGTATGTTGTGGTTGTTTAGGCTACAGTGGGTTAGCCTATAGTGGGTACACATTTCTAGGGTTAGGTTTGACCTATTTGTACCCAACCCTCATTCTAGTGATTCATTCTCATTCTGACATGGTATTACGAGCCTAGGTTTCACCTAGGACCGAAACGATAGGGCCCACTGTTTCCGCTAGCCGCGCCCTCGTGCGCCGCCTTTTCCTGCGCCTCAAGCGCCTTGTTCTTCAGGCCCCCTAAGGCCCTCTCGCGTCGCCCCTTAAGGCCCCTTACGGCCCCGCGCTAGCCTCTCAAGGCCCCGTGCGGCCCCGCGCTAGCCCCCTAAGGCACCGTCGGCCCCGCGCTAGCCTCTCACGCCCCCCCCCTCGGCCCCGCGCTAGCCCTCTAAGGCCCCCGTCGGCCCCGCGCTAGCCTCTCACGGCCCCCGAACGGCCCCGCGCTAGCCCCGAACGGCCCCCAACCGGCCTCGCCCTCGCCCTGGACGGCCCCGCGCTCTCCCTTAACAGCCCCACCCGGCCCCGCGCTCGCCTCTCTAGGACCGAGCCGAACCGCGCGACCCGACCGAGCCGCGCGACCCGACCGAGCCGCGCCGCCCTAGCCGAGCCGCGCCGCCCTAGCCGAGCCGCGCCGTCCTAGCCGAGCCGCGCCGCCCTACTGCTACTACCACTGCTGCTACTGCTACTCCTGCTACCACTACTACTGCCACTGCTACTGCTTCAACTATGGCTAGCCCTACAGTTCTCTCGTTCGATACTGAGGGCCGCCCGATTAAGTTTGAGACCTGGCTCGATGATCTGCACCTGTTCCTCCAGCTCACTGCCCGAGAGGATATCTCGCTGTACGATCACGCACTAGGCACAGTCCCTGCTCCTGCTACTACTGCTACCGCTACTGCTCGCTTGCAGTGGCAGACTCGCGATGCCCACGCCCGCTTTGCCATTCGCAACTCCCTGCCAGTCGATGAGCGCGAGCACTTTGGCCAGCATCAGACTGCGCAGGCCCTCTACACTGCTGTAGTTGCGCGCTACTCCTCCCCGGCCTCAGCTGCACTAGGCCGCCTCTCGCTTCCCTACCTGTTCCCCGACCTGTCCGCCTTCCAGACAGTTGCTGACCTCATCACTCACCTCCGCACTAGTGATGCCCGCTTCCGTGCAGCCATGCCCGCTGAGTTTCTTGCCTCCAACCCTCCCCCGCTCTGGCTCACTCTCTACCACCTAGTCACCCGCCTCCCTGACACTCTGCGTACAGTCAGGGACCACTTCCTAGCTCGCTGCCCCACTGAGCTCACCATTGCCGCCCTAGAGAAGGAACTACTTGCAGCTGAGAAGAGTATTGTAGCTGTAGGTGCCTCTCGTGGCGACCCCCGCACCCCTTTCTTCGAGGGGTGTTCCCCCTCCCCCCTGCTCCCCTCTGTCGCCTCTGCTGCTGCTGTCGACCTCCTTGGTGCTGAGCAGGTCGGCTCTGCGTCCGCTCCCAGCGGGCGCCGCAGCGGCAAGGGCAGGGGAGGCAAGGGCGGTGGGGGTGAAGGCGGAGGAGGCAGTGGTGGGGGTGGTGGCGGCGGTGGGGGCGGTGGCGGGGCTGGAGGGGCTAGTGGCAGCGGTGGGGGTGGTGGAGGCAGCGGCAGCGGCGGTGGTCGGGGTGGGGGCGGTGGTGGTGGCGGCAGTGGACGTGGCGGCGGCAAGGGCGGTGGTGGTCGTGGTGGAGGCGGTGGTGGTGGTCGTGGAGGCTCTGGCCCTGGCCAGAGCGCGCAGCACCCTCAGTCCTCCCAGGAGCTTCGTGAGTGGAACTTGCAGCACGGGGGTGGGGGGGGTAGCCTTAGCTGCACGTACGTCATCCGCACTGGTCGCCGCAAGGGACAGACGTGCGGGAGGGCGCACACTGCTCAGCGCTGCTTCTCTCGCCTAGATGACGCTTGGCGTGCTCAGTTTCCTGTCGCTCCTGAGCTCCCTCAGTGGGCTGATCTCCTCAAGAAGGATATCGATATCTATGCTCTTGATTTTGATGTTATTCTCAAAGCCATGTATGCATTGACTATTAGTGGAGAGGAGGACCAGTACCTGTGTGTTCCGCCTGACCCAGGCATCCGCACGAGTGAGGCTGCCGCTCTAGGTGCTTGCGCGTCCGCTGCCCCAGGTGCTGGTGAGGCTACTGCTCTAGGTGCTTGTGTGTCTGCCACCCCAGGTACTACTGAGTCCACTGAGGCACTGCACACCTTCACTCTAGACTCAGGCGCTTCGCGCTGTTTCTTTCGTGACCGCACTGCCCTTGAGCCCCTTGCTCGACCAGTCGCTGTCTCGCTCGCTGACCCCTCTGGGGGTCCGGTCATTGCGACCTCCTCCACCCTCCTTCCTTGTCCTGCTGTCCCGTCGGGCACACTGTCAGGTCTCCACCTCCCCTCGTTCTCTACGAACTTGGTGGCGGGTTGTGCGCTTCAGGATGGGGGTGTTCACCAGTTCACCCCTGCCTACGAGCGCGTGACACACTGCACGTGTGCTCGGACGGGCCGTCACCTGGCTACCTTCACTCGACAGCCGGGGTCGGACATGTACACACTGACCACTGAGTCCCCTCAGGTAGCGGCGTCTGCGTTTGCGTCTGCGTCAGGTCAGCTCTTTGCCCCCTGCTTGTGTCGCTCTCTAGCGCACAAGACTGTCCTCTGGCACCACCGACTTGGTCACCCGTCAGTGCAGCGCCTTCGGGGCATGAACGCCCGATACCTTGTCTCTGGTCTTCCTCGGGTACTCCCTCCCCTCCCACCCTCCCTTGCTCCTCCTTGTCTTCCCTGTGTCGAGGGGCGGCAGCGCGCTGCCCCTCACTCCTCCTCGTTCCCCCCGACGACTACTCCTTTGCAGACGCTCCACATGGACGTGTGGGGCCCAGCCCGCGTCCGTGGTCAGGGCCAGGAGAGGTACTTCTTGATCGTCGTTGACGACTACTCGCGCTACACCACGGTCTTCCCCTTGCGCACCAAGGGTGAAGTCCCTGATGTTCTGATCCCTTGGATCAGCAGAGCACGTCTTCAACTGCGAGAGCGTTTTTGCTCGGAGTTTCCTGTCCTGCGCTTGCACTCTGACAGAGGTGGCGAGTTCTCCTCCAACCTCTTGGCGGCCTACTGTGCCGAGCACGGCATTCGCCAGTCGTTCACGCTCCCGGCCTCTCCACAGCAGAATGGGGTTGCTGAGCGCCGCATTGGCTTGGTCATGGACGTCGCTCGTACCTCCTTAGTCCACGCGGCTGCCCCCCACTTTCTGTGGCCGTTTGCGGTCCGGTACGCTGCGCATCAGCTCAACCTCTGGCCCCGTGTCTCCGCTCCGGAGACCTCGCCCACACTGCTGTGGACGGGGGAGGTTGGCGATGCGTCACGCTTCC